ATATATATATATATATATATATATATATATATATATATATTCTCATCACTCATCCTGATTTTTCATCATCTCATAATGCTAAATCCGTTCATCTTATCTTCTCAATTACATTTCTTACACCGTATAATGGTTTTGCGTTTCAATACTGCCATCACATTTGTACAGTGACACGATTCTTGGAAAGCATGCGGTTGCGTAATCGATTGATGGATCGTCTAAGTGCGGACACATCGGCAACTGGCTCTGATCCGAATACCCTCCCACCGGTGGTTGAACGTAAAGTGAGCGGATTCGATATTTGGGGCTTGTTTCTACGACTAATCGACGTGCTCCAATCCCGTCTGCCCCGATCCCTATCGTTTATGGAATCCGCCACAGCCTGGGCCTGTTTGCTGCCTCAGATTCATTCCGAAGAAGGTAGACGTCGAGCCGCGAGCAATTTGTTGATCAGCACATGTCTTCTTGGTGGTCACGGATCACCAGCTGTAATTAAATTACGTGAATTGTGCAATCGGGTGAGCGGTTCACTATTATCTTCACGTTGTTTATCCACATTTTTCAGGCCATTTATTTTCGTTTAGGTTTTTTCATGTTCATGAACAGTCAACCATTTGAATTTAGTTTGTACTGGGATGTGTATTTCACACACTGTGTTCTTACTTTACGGCCGATGACGCCTGGGAGAAGGCAAGCCGTCTTCACGAATATCCGGAATTGTCACTGCTCATGCTCGGCGGTCTGTAGCAAGATCAGTGCAAATTGTGATCCAACTTGACTTCCATTCTCGATCGCCGTAGACGGAGCGGAGACCAAGGTTTTCTGTATCCTTGCCTACCGTGTCTAGCCAGGTTATCAGCTGCCCACCCTGTTGACAGCGCCAGTTCGGGCAAGGAGACGGTGCCAAGGCAGCTTTAGTCAAGTCGCTATCAGATTTATAAATTGTGACTAAACCATTGCAGTCGCCGCCGCAGTATCAACCTCCGCAGCCGTATAAGATTAAAACACCGGTTTCTGATCGCTTCATTTGATAGTTGATCTCTCCATCGTACTCCCAGAATAACTACTAGGTACCAGTGACCGAAAAATTCTAATCGTCGACGGTATTCGACTTTAAGTGGCTAGGTTTCCCAGCCGTACAGGAAGACAGGACGGACTGCTTCAGCGAAAAATCGTAATTTTGTTTTTAGGCTGAGTTCATTTCTACGCCAAAGGGAATTCTTCAGCTGTAGAAACGCCTTTGCAGCATCGACGCGCACCTGTACGTCGTCTTTGGCTTGTAGTAACACTACTTTCACTTTTTACTGTCATTCTCTCGATTAATGTAAATGCGCTATTGTTCAAAATGTTGTTTGGCAAATTCGAAGTTTGTATGGCGATTGTGAAAAGTTCAGTAGCCTCCACGGGAGTCAAATCCTCTATTACGAGATCGCATATGACCTCGAATATGGCACAATTTCCGGTAAGTTGTGTCGTGCGCTTTGCTCTCTGTGCATCTTGATGCTGCAGGTCACATAAAACCATGAGCGTTCGTTACCGAATCTGTTCTCAATCCGGTCTCATCTTTGGGAAACTCCCCGATAAGCTTAATCGACAGAATTGGTGAACGCGTCGTCACTCAGCCCGTCCTATGTGCTAAATTGGTGAGCCCGACGTGATTTTGCGTAATCCGTTTTTCTTTCAGCACGACACGGGCTTTGCACAATACAATTTATTTTTACTTGTGTTTGATGTATACTGATATTATTTGCACTTTCTTTAACGGCGTGATTATACTGGTTTATTTATTTTTCCCGTTAAACCGAATTCCATTTACGAAAACCTATATGCTCGAATATTTTGCGATCGGGAGACAGTGTCAATGCTTGAACCTGAACTAATAATTCTTTGACACAGGCCACCAGTTCGGCGTTGGCCGAGGAGGGCGTTTGTTGTGCTGGCTGTGCGATGTGTTGGACCGACAGTTGTTCATCGTAGGCCCTATCGGCCATTTCTGCCTGTTCTGTCAGTGTTTAACGTTGTTCAAAATACTGCCGTATGGAAGACAAGCTCTTTGGTAGAGCTTGCATCCAAGACAAGCAGAGAATAACCTCGTCGACGTTCAGGCTGTCGGCCTGGCCCTGCATAAAACTTTGGAGTTTCGTAGGTGTGTCGAGGCCGTTGTCCCCGAGACGCAGTCGCTGAGCAGTTGTTTAAGGCGACACTCTACGGGCATACCGAATCTGCCCAGAATTGCAACACGGAGTGCATCGTATGGACGGTCTGGTGGCGGGTTGCACACTATATCGCGCAAACCCGTGGTTATCGACCTAGCGAGGTGACCGACTAACTGTGTGAACTTAGCCAACTGATTAGTCACCCCTGCTAGTTTAAACTGAGCCTCTACCAGAGCCGGCCAAAACTCACCGTCCTCTGGTATGAATTCTGGAATACGCGCTTGTAACCCCATTACGCTTGTCTCGTCTACCGAAACCGTTGCGCGGACCTCTTTATCTTCCGAGAATTGATTATACATTATGACTCGAATGTGAATTAAAATGAAAAAATGAATAATCATATCAATAGATGGGTGCTCGAAAAGCAGTGAACTTTAGAGTCCTGGTGCACTGTATAAGTATAAATAAATACATATATAACAACGTATGAAGCTGAAAAGTGCAAAAATATTCGGATATATAGGTTTTCGTAAATGGAATTCGGTTTAACGGGAAAAATAAATAAACCAGTATAATCACGCCGTTAAAGAAAGTGCAAATAATATCAGTATACATCAAACACAAGTAAAAATAAATTGTATTGTGCAAAGCCCGTGTCGTGCTGAAAGAAAAACGGATTACGCAAAATCACGTCGGGCTCACCAATTTAGCACATAGGACGGGCTGAGTGACGACGCGTTCACCAATTCTGTCGATTAAGCTTATCGGGGAGTTTCCCAAAGATGAGACCGGATTGAGAACAGATTCGGTAACGAACGCTCATGGTTTTATGTGACCTGCAGCATCAAGATGCACAGAGAGCAAAGCGCACGACACAACTTACCGGAAATTGTGCCATATTCGAGGTCATATGCGATCTCGTAATCGGTGACAATACAGGTGTTGACCAAACTCGTGCAACATCAACCTCATTTTCGAAATCCATCTCAGTTTGGAATATGGTACCTATATTGTGATGTCGATGGGTAAAGTGTATTTATTCCCGACTTTATTTCCAATTTTTATGCTTTTTATTCTCTTCTGTCACCGTTTTAATTTGCGCGACTGTGAGTGTCGCGATAAAATTTGTAGTAGTTCGAAAGTTACAGCTCTGATTTGGAAAATATTTTAGGCAAAACAGCATGGAAGTGCATTCTTTTTAACAGATGATTCCTGTCCCATAAGAATGTTTATTAAGTTGAGCACACGTATTCTAAATTTCTAATCTCTTTTCATTCAGTGCACAGTAGATAAGCAAAACAATGAAAATATTCTAGCTTGAATAAATTGATAAGTTATTTGGTTACAAACTACTGGTGACCTGTGTGTTCCGGGCTCAAACCGCTCCACCGCCGCCCGTTTTCCCTGTATCTGTATTTTCCCTAGGCGGCCTTTGTATGGCCGCAGCCCTCTTCCTAAAAGTTGGCTGTACATTTGCATATTCAACAAATAGAAAAAAGAAGTAAAAAGACATTTATTATTAAGTAATTGTGGGTCGAATGCGAAATATCAATCCAGCGAATCAGTCCATACCTGCATGGAAGTCCTGACTTGGTGGGAGGCTTTCGATTGAAGTTAACAGTGTCTCCCTTCGTTGCTATTGGGCCAAATGAACTGACTATCATTGAAGACGACATCTGAACAAACAAGAAGTGGCAATTTGGTTCGTCCATGGCATGAGCTGGTTAGCACAGTGGTAACGCACAGGCCTTCGATGCGTTGGGTCCGGAGTTTAAACCCCGGACGGAACGGTGGATATGTACTACTGATGAGCTCTAATAAGAGCGACACTCGAATCTAGTGCTTCAGAGTGTATGGTTGAATCGACGAATGGAGGATTGTGCGTTAAGGTGAGGTCCGAAAGATAGTCAGCTCAAATCAATAAAAAAAGGATGTAGAAGAAGTTTTAAGTGTTCCATCCACCGAGACATTTTTCCTTCCGCATTGGAAATGAGTTCGCGGCGGTTCTGTGCAACACAAACTGGGTGATTTGTTTCTGGTTCGGAGCTGATCGTATAAGTCGGAATACGTTCGCCGTGTCGCCCAGATTGGCTGCTGTCTCCAATTTAATCACCATTTTATCCCAGTGGTTGTATCTGTCGTATCCGATCGATCGTGTTGCTTTTCTTCTGCGATCGCGATAAGCAGAGGATTGAGCTAGGCGTACCTCTCTGATCGCACTAGCTAACCGGATGCTGTAGGCTTATATCCAATCCTTCAGACGGTCTTACTCAGTGCTTAGTTCGCGTAGAACAGCTTGTTGTACCGACGATTTCAACCTGGTCCCCTGGGTTTCAGCCGAACTTTCTGTGCTTCTTTGCTTACCGAATGGGTCTTTCGATAGTTGTGCATTTATCATGCCCATCAATTCTGGGAATTTCTCGCTGTTTTCCAGTGGAAACACATTCATACGTTTTGAGGAGACAGTCTTCCTGCGAGTTGTTATATGGAGTCTAACTTTTACGCGAACTAACACGTGATCAGATCGGCTTTTGTTCTAACATTCGGTCCCGCGATAGAATCGACAATCTTCAACCGAAGAAATCCATCGTGAACGGATGTGAAGATAATCTCGTTGGTGTACTGTTCGTTNCGTCAAAAGATGCCCTTTTGGATGTTGAAACCGCGTGTTGATAATAAACAGTCGATTATAATCGGTGAAGCTGAGTAGTCTGTCACCTTTCTCGCAGCGCTGTCCCAGGTCAAACCTCCCAACTATATGCTTCATGGCCTTTTCTTGTGGGTTAGTTCGAGCTTTCCATTCTCCTGCCATGGCAAATACATCTCATTTCAGTACTTCATTAACAGACTATTAAAGACTGCGATACAACACGTGCTTTAGGTTGTTATAACATGAGAGTCGGCGTAGACAGTGATTACTGTGAGATTTACTAGATAGTCTTTGAATGGGATTCTGGTTTCCAAGATGGTAAAGCATTACTAGCCCGATGGCTTCAAGCAAGTGCCGCCCCTTGTTAACCCGACGTTCCACTGACACAGCCAGTATTGATTATCGCTACCAGGGATTTGGATTCTTTTGAAGCCGGATCCCGCTAACCTGACTTCAGATGGGCATGTAATATCCAGCGGTAGTCATCCAGTACACCTATTGTTAGCTCCTGACTCCCGGCCTCTAGGAGTGTTTTTATCTTACAGCATCCAGTGTAACAAGTTTTGCGTAGTTTAATTCGTTCGGTACATATAATTGTCTCAAGAGCCACTGAATTAACACGAGGCATGTCACCTCCCGGGAACGCTGTGGCATGATTGGCGAGACGAATTAAGTGAATATCCATGACAGTTCTTGGGAGTAAGGTATGGGTAAGCGTCCCCATCGTCATTCCGTTTTAGGTCAAATTGCATTGTTTAGCCTTTGTACTCCCAAATTCTAACGGCAGAGCAGCAGGAAGATAGTGAATGGTTTCCGATGGCCCTATAGGGAGGGGGCTCATACGTCATCGACATTTTCTAATTGAACAGGGGTCCATGCATCCCTAATGAATACGAAGCCGTTGACTGTTGAATCGTGTTAGTAACTTCGTCCAACCTACGCGGTAGTACATTCGTACGATAGACACCGGCTCTCCGGGGGTTTGTTTATCAATGTGTTTTCCCCATCTTACTCTACTGTTCCCCGGTTATTTTTCCTGGT